AGCCCTCCACCCGCTGGCTGGACGCATAGCTTGCACGGGCTGTCTGCCCACTTCTGCCCCAGCCTCTCAGGTTAAACGCACAGTCCTCGCAGGCCGGGCCAAGGCACCAGGGATCTGCAGCTCTGCCGCCCCCGTCAAAAACAGCACTTCTCCAGGATTCCCTCTTCCTGCACAGCGTCCCCGCTTCCTCGATCCAGAAGCAGCTGCCTAGAGAGGGGCTTGTGGTCCTTGGATGGACCGTCCACCTCACCTGGCCTCTGCACTCGTGTGCGACAGCATGGCCGTTCACAGGACTGAGGCCCTGGTCCTCCACAGCAGCCCAGACCTCCTCCCTAAGTTCACAGTGCAAGCAAGGACACCCCCTCCCCCAGGCACCACGACTTCACATGCCGGAACTCCAGCATCCTCTCCGGGTGTACCCTTAAGCTGCTCAAGAGAAAGCCCTTAACCCAGCTGCTCCGGAGACCCCTTCCTGGAGCTTTCCACTTCCTGAAGAATCATTTCTTGGGGACCCACCCAAGCCTCTCTGTCCTGCTGTGACAGATTTGCCGGTGGTCATCGTGGTCGTGAGCACCCAGGGCTGGGAGATGCTTATTTAGCAAAACACAAAGCTTCCTCCTTCCCAGTACTGCTCAGAGCACACGACCCATATTGGCGGGTGGTGTAGTCCCAGCAGCAACTACAGCTGCCCCCCTTTGATAGAGGAGGAAAACGCGGGGAGAGGCGACACAGCCCCGCAATCACACGTGTGGTCAGCGGCTGTCGTATGCAGAATGCCTGCCCCACCCCCACCAAGACGTCTTCAGGCCTGGCGCCCGTGAACACACCGTATTAAATGTACTAACCCAAACAGCCCACCGGCCGACCCTAAATGAGGAGACGCCCCTGGATGACCAGGACAAGCCCAGGGTAATCACAGGGTCCTCCGAATATGGGAGGGGGCATGACAGCCAGGGTTCGAGGGAAGTGAGGAGAGAAGGGCCCCGGCAGACGTGCCGGCTCGAAGACGGAGGAGGAAGAAGCCGTGGGTGCAGGCGGGCTCCGGGGGCAGGAAGGCAGGGAAGAGAGTCCTTCCTGGAGCCTCGGAGAGGAACAGTCCTCCTGATGCATGGATCCTAACCAGTGAGACCTGCTGGGGAAGCACCTGCTCTTCTAAGCCACTAAGTCTGTGGTCATTTGTTACAACAGCAGCAGGAAACCAAAAGTGATACTGGGAGTGGGATGCCGCTGTAACGAATGTAGAGTGGTTTTGGAATTGGGCAATCACGGAGCCTGGGAGAACTTGGGAATGTGGTGGGAAGGGCCTAGATCGCCTTGGACGTGTGTGCTCAGTCATGTCTGACTCTCTGCAACCCCATGAACTGTAGCCCACCAGGCTCCCCTGTCATGAGATTCTCCAGGCAAGAATGCTGGAGTGGGTTGCCATTTCCTGCTCCAGGGGATCTTCCCGACCCGGGGATCGGGCCAAGTCTCCTATGAATCCTGCACTGGCAGGCGGGTTCTTTACCGTCAGAGCCACCTGCGAAGCCTACCTTTGAATGAACAGTTAGAAATAGAGATGCTAACTACTTGACCAGTGCTCAGAAGGAAGTCGGGAACACGGAAGAGAAAAGCCGGTCGTCTTAGGGAACCCTGGTCTGCACGAACAGACGACAGGCAGGCCCTGGATGTCAAGGGCACTGCAGGGCCTCCCAGGTGGAAACCGGGGTGTGTCACTAGAAGCTGGAGCAAAGCGGATTTGTGCAGAAAAGCTCTTCAGATGCATTCAAACAGGAGTCAGCTATCACCCACCCCAAGGCCTGGGGAAGGAGGAAGGAGAGCTAAACGAGGGAGCACAGGACCCTGCTCTGACGGGGTCTGCCCTGGGGTCTGGTGGGGTCTGCCCTGGGGTCTGACGGGGTCTGCCCTGGGGTCTGGCGGGGTCTGCCCTGGTGTCTGGCGGGGTCTGCCCTGGGGTCTGGTGGGGTCTGACCCTGGGGTCTGACGGGGTCTGCCCGGGGTCTGGCTGGGTCTGCCCTGGGGTCTGATGGGGTCTGCCCTGCCTTGGGGTCTGGTGGGGTCTGACGGGGGTCTGACGGGGTCTGCCCTGGGGTCTGGTGGGGTCTGCCCTGCCTTGGGGTCTGGTGGGGTCTGACGGGGTCTGCCCTGGGCTCTGATGTGGCCTGCCCTGGGGTTTGGTGATAGGTCTGCCCTGGGCTCTGATGGGGTCAGCCCTGGCGTATGGTGGGGGTCTACTTGGGCACACTGCTCACTTTCCCATCGCCCTGCTGCATTTTCTCCTGGACAATGATGCGATACGACATGGATTCATGTGTTTCCTTGTCTGCCTCTACCCCTCGGCTGGAACTGGAGCCCACCGAGTACCGACCCTGCACAAAGCCCGGCCCCACGCGACCTCCACCAGCTCCAGCCCCATCTTGACGGTGCCACTCCCTCCAGAGGAGCCCTGTGCCAGCTGATAACCACCCAGCAAATCTCCTCTCCCCGCTCTGCTCCACCCACGCCTCCGCTGGCAGCCTGAGGTTGCCAGCAGGCACTGCTGTCTGGAAGGATGTGCCAAGAGTGGAACAGGAACTCTGACGCCTCACTATCAGTTTTATTATTCAGCACCCGCCCACCCCGCGTGACCAAGAATGGTGATAAAAAACAGGCGTCCTCTAGCCGGTCCTCATCCTTCTGCCTCAGTTACACAAATTAAAATGAAAGTAACTTAGAAGACAGAGTGGGATCTAAAGAAACTTTAAGGGCAAGGCAAGAGGAGGAAAAAAGAGGGGCTTGTGGCTCAGATGGTAAAGTGTCTGCCTGCAGTGCAGGAGACCCGGGTTCGATCCCTGGGTTGGGAAGATCCCCTGGAGAAGGAAATGGCAACCCACTCCAGTACTCGTGCCTGGAAAATTCCATGGACAGAGGAGCCTGATAGGCTACCATCCTTGGGGTCACAAAGAGTCAGACACGACTGAGCAACTTCACTTTTTCACTTTCCCTAAAAGTTCAACTTTTGCATTTCCAACAAGGATTATCTAAAGGCAAAAAGTCATACATGCCTTCTCCCTCCAAGTCTCCCTAACCCCACAGGCACAGAGGTGACCTGTGTGACCGCTGACTCCCAGCTCTGGGCGCCCTGAACACGTGTACACTGGAGGTCAGAGATGTGCCCACAGATCCCGGCATTCCACTGCCCCGGGGGCCCGGCTGAGGTCACACTTGGGGTTCCGGGAAGAAGGTGGGTTTCCCAGGCAGCCAGGAAATGAGTCGCTGCCCCCGGAGCCCAACCAGACACCGAGGACATCTCATCAGCCTTATTACAAAATCCTCTGACGGTAAAGATTCCGGCTGCAACACGTCCACAGCACCGAAGAAGAAAGTGGCTGATCGACATTCCCTCTCCGAGCCTTGACTGCCAAGATGCCTGCTCTGACACCAAACGGTCAGCTCCTGTTCCAGAAACACCGCGCATGTGGTAGAAGCTTCCCATGGCAGCCACAGCAGGGTTCTGGGATTGGGTCCCCCAGCACCAACCCTGGAATACCCTTGGGTAAAGCAAGGGCACAGTGAGGTCCAGTCAGCCAACCAAAGGGGCCTCGGGACCAGCCTCGTACAGAACACGCAGACGAGTTATGTTAACTTGGTCTGATTTCTACAGCCCTGGTTCCATCGCTATCAAATGCTTGGTGGTGGAGAGTCAGCTAAGGAAAAGATCTCAGAGGAACTTCACTCTGCAGCCTGGAGGCTGAGAACAGAGCAAGGGAGGGACACTTGTACCTGGGAGACTGCATTTCACAGCTTGTTTGCAAATAAATTAGAGAAGATGTTAACAACCCTAACAACAAAAAGGACAGCCAAGAGAAAGCAAGAGGGAGGGAGGAGGGGTAGATGTTGGAAAGCAGCCATCATTAATTCAGTTTTAAATAGAGGATGAGTTACATTCCTGCTTATTCAGCAGACTGGTGAGCCCAAGTTGGCAACTTTTAAATTCCGCAGGAACTTCCAGTGTAAATGTCACTTCTTAAATGCAGATATTTAAAAAGTCAGACCCTGAAGTCTCGGGCTTTAAAAAGTCAAGCCCAATGAAAACGCACCATACTAATTTACAGCTTACTTACTTATGGGATTTTATTCTTTTTCACGGGGAAGAAAATATATTCTATTGTAACACTCTCATGTCAGTGTAATTACGCAGAGTTAACAAACTGAAAGGTTGAATCAAGATCCTCTGATGTATTATACTTTTGAAAAGACACAAATATACTACACATACTTAAAATAATCATTGTTGTTGTTCAGTCGCTAAGTCATCTCTGACTCTTTGTGACCCAATAGACTGCAGCACACCGGGCTCCTCTGTCCTCCACTATCTCCTGGAATTTACGCAAACAAATGGCTATCTTCAAAATGCTTCTACAGAAAATCACTCCAAAGCCCCATAACATGCATGAGCCCTGATGATGGCGACGATAAGTGGAAATTGCAGACATGTCTGGCACTGAGGGAGGGAATCTAAGCTCTGCTTCCCACCTAAGCCCTCAGGGAAGGTTCAGGGCCTCTGCTTTCTCTTTTGTCAGGAGAGGCAGTTTATACTAGCTCCCCTCACCCCTCAGGGTTGCTGTGGACAGCGGCTGAGACCCTGTTGGTGGGAGGGCTTCAGTGCCTCCGGTTACCAGCAGCTGGCTGGGCTGGGAGCTCCATACGCAGGCACCAGCGGGTTCTCTCTTTGGGGCCCAGGGTGCTTTCCTGGAATGTTGCTAAGATGCACCCAGTGTCTGAATCCTCAGCTTTCCCACCAGCAGAGGAGCCAAGTAGGAACAGAAAGGGGCCAAGGGTGGCCGCACACCGTGAGAAGGGGCCTGATACAGAAGACGGGGTCACCTGCGGAGCAAGAGAGGGACCCAGCGTGGGGCAGCAGACGCCTGCCCTGCGGGTCCCTGCTCCAGGAGACCCTACCCTGGGGAACCCCTGCCCTGGGGGACGCGTCTCTTCAGCTGGAAGACCCCCGCCCTCACCTGCAGTGTCCCAGATGGAGATGTTGTAGGAGCGCCACTGCTTCAGGTAGAAGGCGCCGCCCACCGTGCTGACCGTGTCCGGGAAGCGCCGCTCCATGTACCTCTGGAGCAGCGACGTCTTGCCCACGTTCATGTCCCCCAAAAGCACGATCTTCCCGTCAGGCTTCCTCATCTTCCCGTAGGGGGCACCCCTCCGCTCCCCCACGCTCTCCTGGCCCGTGCGCCCGGGGCGCGGCTGGAGCCGCCGGACGTCCCGAGGCTGCTCCGACCCGGGACTGGCGGGGAGGCGGATTCGCGGGGACCCTCCCTTCCGGACGCCTGGGAACGCGGGAGAGAGGGCGCGGCTCGGCGCTGGGCCGGAGCTGGGAACCAGCCCGACGCCCACCTCAGTGTCCCGGCAGGGGCGGCCAGTCCCGGGTCCAGGGCGGTCGGCCCCGCCCCCGACCGCCCACCCCCGAGATGGTCACGCCCCCAATCGCCACACCCAGGGTATGGCCCCGCCCCCAGACAGCCACGACCAAGATCCGGCCCCGCCCCCGACTGCCCACTCCCCGGGCTGGCCCCGCCCCCTGACCGCCTGCGCCAGGGCTGGCCCCGCCCTCGCCCCGCCCCTCAGGGCGCCCACCTGCCGCCGGCCAGGCGAGGTGCACGTGTCTTCCTGCAGGCCCCGCGCTCGTTCCCCCAGCGGGCGGCGCTCGGAATACCCGGGCAGGTGGGGGCGCCAGGTTGGGGAGGTTGGCGGACGCAGAGCGGAGTCCCGGGGTGGACATAGCGCAGGGGCGCGGCCCGGCTGCTGACCCAGCCGTCCCGGCGGTGGGGCGGGCTTCAGCCCGCAGCACCTGGCTTCCTCCTCCACAGGCACAGGTGTGGCCGTGACCGTCCACGAGGACCGGTCCTCCGCTTGTCTGCCGGGTCGCTGGCGGGTGTCGTTTTCCCTCACTTTGGCGAGAGCGGCTTGCGCTGTTGTGGATCAGAGCAAGAGGAGGACCGCCGTCGCCACTTCACTTCGAAGTGCACGTCTGGCTTTGGCAGTTGTGCTAATCGGGTCTTCACTGGAGACGACGGCGGTGCTCCAGTGTGAACACCAGGGGCGGTGTTTGCTGAGGCCGTGCCGGTCCCGGTTCTCTGCAGGAGAGGCGGGGGCGCAAAGATGCGGACGGGAGGCGGGGTGTGAGGGCGTCTCACCCTGGAGTACCGGCCTTGCGCGGCTCCTGCCCGCAAGCCCGAACTCTGCCCTCGGTCACTACCCACTGTGGGCCCCCACCCCCGATTTCTAGAGTCGCTCTCCCGCCCTCCATCCCTCCGTGACCCTGTCTGCTTACTTTCTACCGCTCCCTAATAAAACTGTGGTTTTACCGGTAGTTATATATGGATGTGAGAGTTGGACAATAAAGAAAGCTGAGCAGTGAAGAATTGGTGCTTTTGAACTGTGGTATTGGAGAAGACTCTTGAGAGTCTTGGACTGCAAGGAGATCCAACCAGTCCATCTTAAAGATCAGTCCTGAATATTCATTGGAAGGACTGATGCTGGAGGTGAAACTCCAATACTTTGGCCACCTGATGCGAAGAACTGACTCATCTGAAAAGACCCTGATGCTGGGAAAGATTGAAGGCAGGAGAAGGGGACGACAGAGGATGAGATGGTTGGATGGCATAACCGACTCGATGGACATAAGTTTGAGCAAGGTCCAGGAGTTGGTGATGGACAGGGAAGCCTGGCGTGCTGCAGTCCACGGGGTCGTAAAGAGTCAGACACGACTGAGGGAGTGAACTGAACTGAACAGGGTGCACTGACGACCTTCCATGCGGCCTCCCTCTCTGGGAAGTGAGCTGCAGGAGGGAGGGACTGTGTTTCACTCACCACTCTGCGGGCTGAAGAGTATCAAGCACCTAGTAGCTGCTCAAGAAAGCTTAGGGTCAGGGCACAATGAGTGACTTCAGCATCCTGGTGAGGCCAGGAGGGGTTCCACGCAGACATCACCGCCAGCTGGGCTCCGCACCCAGGTCCTCTGGTGGTGTGTTTCCCTAGGATGGGGAGCATCTTGTAAGCTAATTCTGCATCCTGCCAGCTCATCGCACCTTTCCAGGCAACTCCCTCATCCAATAAACACGGGGTCAGGAGTCCCCCCTGGAAGATGGGATTTTTGTTTATTTTTAATTGAGGATAACTTCTCCTGTACAACAGGTGAATAAGCCATCTGTGGAGTTGCTAAATCAGCCATAAGTGTCTGTGTGCCCCTCCCTCTTGAACCTCCCTCCAACCTGAGCCCCGTCCCATCCTTCTAGGTGGAGGCTGAGTGTTTTGTTTCCTTTCTCTGGCATGTTCCCAGTGTCTACAACTGGAAGCCAGTCCCACCTCAGCCAGTGTGTGTTTGAATAAATGCGTTGGTTTGCCAAATGCTGTCTCCATTTGAAACACTGATGTGTTTTGAGCCGGTTTTGAGGAGCAGGGATGGTTCCAGTGGCACAGTGGAGAAGGAATCTGCCTGCCAATGCAGGAGACCCAGGAGACCAGGGTTCAAACCCTGGGTTGGAAAGATCCCCTGGAGGAGGAAATGGCAACCTGCTCCAGTGAGAATCCCAGGGACAGAGGAGCCTGGTGGGCTACAGTCCAAGGGGTCGCGAAGAGTCAGACATGACTAAGCGCACACGCACACGCGAACACACACACACATACAGCATGTAGAATTCTACCTGAAACATAGAATTCACTCAGAAAGTTTGTTAAAAAAATTTTTTTAACTGTCCAGCACTTTGAAAAGCTAAATTTAACCAGGAGAATGCCTCCATATCAAATTTCAACCACTCCTTTTAAAAAAAAAATGCCTTAAAGACTGCCAGCTGCCTCTTTCCTCTTTGGGAAGCATGACTGAAGAAGAAGTTAAAAGGTTAAAAGTCTGTTTAAACTAGCTACTCTCCTGCCAAGTACAATGTTTGTTCTGCCTGCACTTAAACCACTGGCCTAACAGGGTAATTCTTTTTCCAATTGCTCAGATGAAGAGTGCCCACGGCCCAGAAAACTAGGTAGCGCCTTTTTAATGAGATGCAATGTGAAGAGTTCTGGGACTATCCACCGTTACAGTAGAAGGAGTAATAGTGTGGTTGCTTCTGACAATTTGCAAAGTGTCTTGGGAGTTTATAGGTACTTTGTTGTGGGACAATTCTACCTTTTAAACTACTTTCCTCTTTTCTTAAACAAGCAAACAAAAAACCCCTGCCTATCTACGTGTTTTTGTTCAGTGGGTAGGAACTAAACTCTGAGCCCTGACCTAAGGCTAGAGCAGTGAGGAAGACAGCCAACAAAATAAGCAAGAAAAATACAGAGTGTCCTAGATGGTGATGAAATGTTTGGTGGAGAAAAACAGAGCAGGGGGAGAGGGAGCAAGGCCTGGGGTTGGATGCAGGGGGCACAGTTACGAACAGGATGTTTGCAGAGATGAAGCTTCTGGAGAATGAGGTTAGGGGTTAAACATGCATCTGGAGTTACACATCGGGAGACGCAGACGAGACCATATTTGTGGACACCAGGGAAGGAGAGGGTGGGATGCACTGAGAGAGTAGGACGGACATGCATGCGTCATCGTGTGTGAACTAGATGGCCAGCGGGAGGCCGCACAGCGCACGGACCTCAGCCTGGTGCTCTGCGATGACCCAGGGGGCGGGGCGGTGGGGGGCGAGGCTCATGGACGTGCACACACAGCTGACTCATGCTCTTGTGCAGCAGAAACTAACACAACATTGGAAAACGATTATACTCTACTTTTAAAAATACAGTAAGAAAAAAGAAAGGTGCGGGTGCAGAGCACAGTGAGTGCAAAGTCTCTGAGGCAGGAGCCTATGTGGCGGGCTTCCCGAGAGCGCAGACCAGGGAACAGAGCAGGGGTCACGTGCGGATCGTATATAAATGCTTCAGATATAAATGCAAAACGTATATAATTTATAAATACACGTAAATAAGTTTCTATGATACTTGCATATATGGGCTCCCCAGGTGGCTCCGTGGTAAAGAATCTGCCTGCAGTGCAGGAGGCTCAGAAGCCATGGGTTCAATCCCCGGGTCGGGAAGATCCCCTGGAGGAGGGCATGGCAACCCACTCCAGTCTTCTTGCCGGGAGAATCCCATGGACGGAGGAGCCTGGCGGGCAGTCCATACTGTCACAGTGTCGCAAAGAGTCAGACACTAATGAAGTGACTTGGCTCTCACATATGCACACACATGCATGTATAAAGCTTACACGTATGTATTTGTGTGTAAAACTATGTTAACCTGTTTATGGTGGGTTTTTTTTAGAGTGCATGTGAAATTTGCTTAGCTGTGTCTGACTCTTTGTGACCCCATGGACTATATACTCCATGGGATTTTCCAGGCCAGAATACTGGAGTGGGTAGCTGTTCATTTCTCTAGGGGATCTTTCCAAGCCAGGGATCAAACCCAGGTCTCCCGCATTGCGGGTGGATTGCGGGTGGATTCTTTCCCGACTGAGCCACAAGGGAAGCCCTTTTTTAACATGCAAATATTTTTTATTTGTTTGTAACCAAATCTACCAACTTCTCCTGCCTTGTTTCTGGCCATTTCAATATCCATCTAAATTTCCCACTAAATCTCCTGCTAAAGGCCTGGTGTCGGCTGAGTGAAAGAGCTTGAGATGAGCTAGATTTGCAGTCCAGGCTGGCCGCTTTTTCAGGAAGCGACTCTGAGCAGGTGTTCCCAACTGTCCCAGGCTTCGGTTTCCTCATCTGGCAAATGCAGGTGGCCCTGCCCCTCTCAGTATTATGGCTTGTGAGCCTCTACCCAGAGAGTGCACCATGAGTGTCTAGCCCCTTAGCTCCTCCTCCGTAGGACCCCCTCAATTCAACCAGCATCCCTTCAGCCAGCATCTCCCCACACACAGTCAACAGGATAAAACAGGCCCTTGGGGACACCAACCTTACCCCAGCTTGGACAGGAAGTAGTGGGTATTCATCAAGTCTGTTCCACTTCTCATTCTCTGACACCATCCCACCCCCCACCCTAAAGCGTCTGCTCTTCTTTCTCTTAGAATTCCCGTCGTCTGCTTCCTTCCGCATCGCTGGAAGCCTCCCCCCGCCCCCTGACATTCTGGGTCAGGGAGTCAGTGCCTCTGGACCCCTTTGCAGGGCTGCTGGGGAAGCAAACCTACAGAAAGATGATTAGGCGGAAACATTTACATCCAGATTGGGAGGAGGGGTACCTAGTCAAGAGCATTGAAAATTCCTTCAAATGCTTGACAGAAGTAAAACAAAACATCCAAAGCTGCCATAAGATGGTAGTTTATATCAGCAATCTGCCAAGAAGATGGCTTCTGAGATTTCAGAAAATATTTTCATCTAGCTCAACACGGATGCCTTCTATCAGCTCGTCCCACTTACTGTAAAAATTATCCTAAAACTGAAACGAGCAAATTGAATGGAATTTTGTAGAAATGGGAGTAAAATCAATACTGAATCCCAAGATGGGAGATTTCTGACAAAAAGAAAATCTTCCGAAATAAAAAGCATGGGGTACCATTCACTGCCAAGGGGCGGTCACAGACTCTGTCTTCCGCGCCCTCCACCCACCTTCCGCCCTCTGCATAGACTCTGTTATTCTTGTTCTCTATCACACACGCTTCGAGGAAATCTCAGGGTTATTCCTGCCCTGAACCGCACAACTGGCCCAGGATCCGCACCAGGCATCTAACGGCACTGTTTCCTCCAAGTCATTTTGTTCTTTCCACCTCTAGTCAGCTTAGCCCGCATCCAGGCGATCGCATCAGTCACCCCCAAACTGCGGGTCATCTGTCCTGTCCCAGCCCTGCTTGCAGTGTCTCTTGGTCTGGGATGACGGCAGGTTCCTTGGGGGCGAGTCACCGACTTCCTTTCCCTGGTAGGTTTCCCTGGTGTGCTGTAACAAGCACCGCAGGCTGAGCAGCCGTCCATGGCAGACTCTCCCCCGCCATGCAGGAGTCTGGACTTCCGAGACCAGGGCCAGTCCCCACCCAGCCCTGAGGGCATCTTGGTGCTGCTGTTGGCAGGAGCCCGGGCCAGCTCCGTCCCTGCCACCATGTTCCTTGTGGGCCCGGGTCTAGACGCAGTGCTGCGCTGTCTCCCTTCCCGCGCGTGTGGGACAGGTTGGCTTGGTCTCAGCCTTGCCCTCCTGGTGGTCACGGAGGATGCGGCCCCCAGGGGGACTTTGAAGGGCCCTAGGGACGAGGAAAGAGGGCCTGGAGGGCAGCTCCTGGGTTAGCTCTCAGCCTCTGCTCCCCTGGGGCGTGGGCCTGGCCGTAGGTGTGAAAGTGAGTGCTAGTGTGAATTCAGGTCTGTGTGTGAGTACAGGTGTGGGTGCAGGTGTGGGTGTGAGTGTGAGTGTGAGAGCAGGTGTGTGCAGGTGTGGGTGTGAGTATGGGTGTGGGTGTGAGTACAGGTGTGGCTGTGGGTGTGTGTGAGAGCAGGTGTGTGCACAGGTGTGGGTGTGAATACAGGTGTGGGTGTGGGTGTGAGTGGGAGAGCAGGTGTGTGCGCAGGTCTGCGTGTGAGTACAGGTGTGGCTGTGGGTGTGTGTGAGAGCAGGTGTGTGCGCAGGTGTGGGTGTGAATACAGGTGTGGGTGTGGGTGTGAGTGTGAGAGCAGGTGTGTGCAGGTGTGGGTGTGAGCACGGGGTGTGTGCAGGTGTGGGTCAGGTGTGAGTGTGAGAGCAGGTGTGGGTGTGAGCACAGGTGTGGGTGCAGCTGTGGGTGTGAGTGTGAGTGTTAGAGCAGGTGTGCAGGTGTGGGTGTGAGCACGGGGGTGTGTGTCAGCGTCCTGAGCTCGGCCGCCCCCTGGTTCACACCACACCTCCCTCTCTGCTCAGACAGGAAACTCCGTCTTCTCTCTGAACAGAAGGTTCACGCGGCAGTCCTGGCCCTAGGACCCCTCTGCTCCTCCCCTCCAGGCCTGGGGTCCTTAGCATCTGGCTGTCCCCTGTGGTCCCAGGCGGGTCCTAGGAGCTGACCACAGGATGGGTGACCCTCAGACCAGGCCCCAGACCTCAAACACCGGGCGCCCAGACGCAGGAGAGCGCTGACCCCAGCCCACCCCCACCGACCCAGAAACGCTGGGCGGGCCAGACCTGGGGTTCTCTCAAGCCCCCCGGGTGAGTCCGAGCAGCTCCAGCCTGGCGCCCCCGCTCTCGGCTGACACCCGGCTGACCCCACGCCTCCTGCCTGGTGTCTAATCGGTGTCTAATCGCAGACAGGCCGGCCCTGCCGCTCGGAGGCCCGGCCCTGAGTGCTCAGCCCGCCCGCAGCCCCTCTGACGTCGCCCCGGGCTGGTGATCAATCTGCGTTTGGAAGTTGCTCGCCCCTTCCCAGCTAACCTAACATTCGGGTTTAACAGCTCTGCGGCCTCTTGCGAAACCACGTGAACTTCCCCATCCAGAGGGAGCGGGATTCCTACATTCACTGCCTTCAGTTGCCAGCAATTGATCAGCGTTTTGGACATTGTTAAGACCCTGTCCGTGAGAGGCTTTTCCTGGTCATGCTCATCTGTCCACCATCGCCTCTTCGGTCTTACTGTTCGTCCGCGTCTCGGAGGAGAGGGTTTCTCATTCTGGGAAACCGTCACTTCCCCTGGTCCCTTGTGGATGCCCCCCCCCCCCCCCGGAGATATTCCACTTCCCACCACGCCCGTGTCTCGTTTTCTCATCCCTCTGGATGCTCAGCTCCATCTTCCGGGATCCTGCTCGGCCACATCCCTCCTCCTCCCCGGGCAGCTGCCCTTTCCCCTCTGACCTCTCCAGGGTCGCAGAGCCCCTCAGTGCTGAGCGGTGCCGCTTCCTCCAGGGAGCCTGCTCCCCCAGCCTCCCTGAGACTGCGGTCACCCATCACCGGTGACCCATGAAACGGTCACTCAGTCTTCCAGTGCCTTCCTAGCCTTCGACCCTGTTTCTCAGTTCCTTCTTTGTGAAAATCTCTCCCCGTGGCCTTCCCGTCTTCCTGACTACAGGGCCTCCCCAGGATCCACCCTTGATCGCAGGAGTTCACTTTTTAAATAAACTCACCAAACGCTTGCAAAATATCCCATAAGTCTTCATGCCCTGAAGCTTCTGTTGCATGTAAAGTTGCCTAATTTCCTTGAAACAGAACTTGGGCCCCACTGGAGTCAAACCTAAATCCTGCCAAGAGTAGGTGTGTAAAAACATCTTTTTTAAAGACTCCAGAATTTCTGATACTTTGAAAAATAAAGAAGAAACAATGACTGTATTTGTGCTGCATGAAATCCATCACAGGGTTTTAAGCCACCATAGGAGCGGAAGCTCTTAAGCAACCTTGAGAAATCCTTATCTTAAGATTTCCTAGTTCCTGTAAACTTCTCAGATTGCATCATGATGAGGCTTGGAGGCTTTACAGGAAAGAGAGACCGGAAGATCCCACCCATGGGCAGAGGTGGGGCAGCACACGGCCGTCTTCAGGGTCCAACGTGGGGTGAGTTACGAAACCCCAGAATGCCCCCTTGAAATCTGGACTGTTGAGTTGGTGGGGGCGGGGGGCTGAAAAATTAACAGGAGACAGAGTAACAGGAAGAGAGAAAGCACGTTTTATTCACATCCATCTGAGTACCTTCAGACGCAGAGGCCCCCTGGGCAGCTGGCTACAGGGGAGAGGGGGCAGAAAGGGCTCCTACCAGGAGACACAGGGGCCTTCAGGGGAATACCTGGGAGGCGTGGCAGCTAGTAGGATGTTTCCCTGGGCAGTTTCCCATCCCCTTGGGAGGAGTCAGCCTCCTCCCCCCATGAGAGAAGGAAGTGCCGTCTTTAACCCTGTAACCAGATAAAAGAAGCTCCAAAAAGGCTTCCTGCTCCATCAGCTGGATCTCAGGCATCTTGGTCTACAGTAACCTTCCCATCCGTCAGTGGGGCCTGGTGGGTTTCATCAGACCCCACGGAGACCTCGCTTAGAGTCTGACCAGAAGGCTATCTCTGCAGGCACACCTGGTCCAGACCCCCTGACGTGTGCCGAGGGAGCTCCCTGGGCCTCCAAAGACGGGAAGGCCGGAGTCTCAGCGTTTCCTGGAGGAAACAGGCCCAGGTGCCCGCACTTTGTCGCACGCTTTACTTCTTACTTCCAAGGCCTACAGATCCATACTCGCCAGGGACTGGACATCTGTGTCCCTCGCCCCATATTCCTGTGTTGAAATCCTCACCCCACAGTGATGGCGTTAGGAAGTGGGACGTTTGGGAGGTGATTGTGTCATAAGGGTGGAACCCTTGTGAATGCGTTCAGTTCAGTTCAGTTCAGTCACTCAGTCGTGTCCAACTCTTTGCGACCCCATGAACCGCAGCACACCAGGCCTCTCTGTCCATCACCAACTCCGGGAGTCCATCCAAACCCATGTCCACCGAGTTGGTGATGCCATCCAACCATCTCATCCTCTGTCGTCCCCTTCTCCTCCTGCCTTCCATCTTTCTCAGCATCAAGGTCTTTTCAAATGAGTCAGCTCTTCACATCAGGTGGCCAAAGTACTGGAGTTTCAGCTTCAGCATCAGTCCTTCCAGTGAACACCCAGGACTGATCTCCTTCAGGATGGACTGGTTGGATCTCCTTGCAGTCCAAGGGACTCTCAAGAGTCTTCTCCAACACCAGAGTTCAAAAGCATCACTTTTTTGGCACTCAGCTTTCTTCACAGTCCAACTCTCACATCCATACCTGACTACTGGAAAAACCATAGCCTTGACCAGATGGACCTTTGTTGGCAAAGTAATGTCTCTGCTTTTAAATATGCTGTCTAGGTTGGTCATAAGTTTCCTTCCAAGGAGTAAGCGTCTTTTAATTTCATGGCTGCAATCACCAACTGTAGTGATTTTGGAGCCCAGAAAAATTAAGTCAGCCACTGTTTCCACTGTTTCCCCATCTACTTGCCATGAAGAGATGGGACCGGATGCCATGATCTTGCGATCAGCACCTTATGAAAGGGACCGGGCCCCCCAGAGCTCTAGTGCCCCATCCCCCACTGAGGACACAGCCCAGACCCTGAAGCTACCTGCACCTTCCTCTTGACCTTCCAGCCCCCAGAACTGGGAGACACGGGTTTCTGTTGTTTACAAGCCACGCACTCAGTAGTATTCTATTATAGCCGCCTAAACGGACAAGGTAATACTTGCTTTATTCCACCCACAGGAAATAAATGAGCTTTCCTTTCCCCGCATACTTACTACAGTTTGGGGCTGCGACGGGAACAGACGGGAATCTGAAAACAGTGCTTCCCTGCCGTGTGACCCGCCAGAGCCAGTACGGGCCATGCTGCTGGCTGTCCCCCATCCTTAAAGGAAGGCACCAGGCCACTCAAACTCCACCTTGAGACATTCACTGTTTACGAGCCGTGATTCGTCTGCAGTGTGGCTGTCAAGCGTTGTGAGATACTAGCTGACCATATTTTGGGCCCTAGTCACCTCTCTCCCGTGTCTCTTGCTTGACTTAATTCTCTATTTCTCTGGCCCTAACTGACCACGGGTAACTGTATATTACAGGACAGAACCAGATAACTTCTTCCCAGGCACTAATCATTTAGAACCATATCTGAGAACCAGCGAGGAGCGATGCTCAGGTCTGCATTCCAACTGTCTTTTATTCTTTAGAAGAACAAGTTCTTTTTATTGCCTCATTGGACAAACATTTCTATAAAAGATCCAGTTTTAATGATTAAGGAACTAATTCTTCAAGCTACTCGAGTAAATATTAACATGGATCTCAAATAATTTAGAGGAACTGTGATCAACTATTTGTAACTTGAAGTTAATTTTTAAAAATTGTTTACCACTGACTGAGTCTTAGGTTTTAAGAAGCAGGCAATTGATATAGTGGGGTTCTACTTGTTTCTGTTTTTCTATTTGTGCTTTTCTGTATTTTTCACGTCTTCTACAGTGAATGCATATTACTTTTGAGAAGGAAAAGAAAGCAGATCTAAAATTAAGTTTGAACTTGGGGAAAAAATGGGATGGTCTTTTACGGGAAGGACCAAGTGAAAAGCTTAAGATGCACTGTTTCCTTTTCATTGCAACTATATTTCCTCGCACCATGCAGAGTATTCACGGCTTTGGGACGGAGGAAGAGTGTGGTTGGTGAAGTTGTGTTTAAGCTGCAGTGTATCAGCCCAAACATCCTCAAGTGTTACTGTCAGTGGGACTTTGTCCAGCGCTTATGTGACAGACAGATCTTAACAACTGCTGTTTGTTGAGTGAAAATATTCCAAATGTAGGTCGCACAGGTAGCAGCATTTTGTGAAAGCCCTGCCGATGATTCTAACGTGGGGCGATGTTTAGAACCCCCGAGACCAGCCCAAGCTCCGCAAATGCTGCGACTCCCAAGGCAGGTTCTTGCGCCCCCTACTGGCGACGGGGGTGGTACTCTCCCAATCCAGAGTCAACGAAGGGGTGAGCCTCCAGAATCCTGAGGACCCCACTGGGGTCCACCTGAGCGCGGGTTTGAGGGGACGTCCAGGGGGAGAAGGATGGCCGTCTGCTGTCTTCCTCACAGAAGCCCTCCTCAGCTTGCTGTTCCCTGGGAGTCCGTGGGGATTCTGAAGTTCACTGAGCTGATGACACCCAGGGTGAGACTCAGCTCGACAAGGCTTTCCCCGGGGTGGCTGCCTGTGGGGTGTGCTCGGGGTCACCTCTGGGCCTGAGCTCATGAGGCCCTGCGGACCTGCCACGGCCGTCGGCGGAGGACGTTCAGAGCCCGTCGGGGCGGGCCCAGTGGACCCAGGACAAGGTCCCGCCCCACCCGAAGCGAGGCCAGGGTCTGCTGCTAAGAGGCTGCTTTGGTTGAATTGTGTCTCCGAAAGACACGTGGAAGCCCTAGCTCCCCACACCTCCGACGGTGACCTGGCTTGGAGACAGGGTGGTACTCAACGTGACTGTTAACAGTTAAGATGAGGTCGTTGTGGAGAACAGGGGAGGGGCTGACCCTGGACAAGGAGTGTGCTTGTTAAAGGGGAGAATCCAGTCCCCAAGACGCGGAGATGAGGAGCCACGTGATGCCAGAGGCGGGGGCTGGAGGGATACCATCTCAGGTCAGGGGTGCTGGCAACCCCCGAAGCCAGAGACGCCTTGATCTCAGTGGACTCCCTGCAGACGCCTTGATCTCAGCCGTCCCCACTCCAGGGACGGGGGGACAGACTTCAGCTGTCTCAAGGGCAGCCTTGTGATACTTTGCTTCAGCAGCTGGAGGAAACCGGGCAAGGCCACAAAGAGGTGGCCCCAACCCCGACTGCCTCCTCTGGGCTGGGCCCGGCTTCTCGCTAGACAGACTCTGGGTCTCCTCGGGCAGGGCCAGCCCAGGAGCGTGGCCCCCGAGGGCCTGGGGGCCAAGAGGCTCCTTTCAGGAGTGACTCCATCATTCCTCTTCTGTTTGCAATAGAGACTCTTTAATACGTGATAGTGGTTTACAACACCGATGATCATTCATGAAGGAGTCTTTTGGGCCTAGAAAAGAGAACAACAGTCTCAAAGGTCCCTTGCTGAATCATCTAACTTTGGAGAAAACAAAACAGAATTTTAGCTCCACCCTGATGCTCCAGGCTGGTTGCATCTATCTGGGACTCATCACCCCCTGCCCAACTACAACTGTCATCTCAACAAAAGGATACTCAAAATATCCCGCCTGGTTGACGTTTCCCTTATCGCTTCCACAAACCTCCCTGTAAGTATGAAGCCTCCGTGATCCCTCCCGCGCTCAGCCTGGTCTTCAGGCCGACTGTCGCCCCTCCTTGCCTGAATAAGGGTAACCTACTTCTGTTGAGGTCGTCTTTCCTTTCCTGCCTTGCCGGAACTATACCCTACAATTTAAAATGCTAGGAAGCAAAAATTTAAAAACACTTCAGATTGCATTATCCACAAATAAGCAGCGTTAGTTAATTTACTAGAAGCCATTGGAACGCTCTCCCGGAGAGTCCCTGACCGCACCCAGGAAACCTCACAGTGAGTTTCAGAGGCACCGTGGTGCGTGAACAGAGAGCACCGTCTGTGAGGGAGCACCACCGGCCTTCACACTCTGCTTGCAGGTCGTTTCTAAGCCTCCATACTCGCAAGCGCGGTTGGATGAACACCAACAAGGCTTGTTTCCTCTGGAATCTGTGGGAATCTGTCCTCAAGGAAAATTCCCAGAAGTGAGACTGCCCCATCGCCATTGTTTGTTCTTTTGTGAAGAAGGAAACCGCAGGCCTGTGATGGAATCGGTCATCTTGGGCCCATGGCAGAAGACCAAGACATAATACCTAACCTAAGGACACGTCTGACTTCCCTGGAATGTGATCTTGCATCAGCCACCCTGACATTTCCTGCTGGCCACTAGGGGTAAATTTTTTTTTTTAGGGGTAATCTTGACTCCTAGACCCCTTCCATCTCTGGTTGGAGTGCAACCTTGCCTCCAACAATGCATTCTTTGCTCAAAATCCCCTCCCTCCACCCACCTCCACCTTTAAAAATCCTTTCCTTTCCTGCAGATCCTTGGAGCTACTCTTTTCTGCTTGTGAGGTGGGATGCGGTCCAACTCATGGTAGCTGAGCAGGACCTCTCGGGGCCTTCCCAGGACAGGGACAGGCCTTCCCCACACCCTCCGCTTTAGCTCCTCTCTGAAGTCCCTGTTGGATAGATGACAGTATCTGATGCACATTTCCTGAGTTTTGCAGACGTGACACCCTCCACCCCCAACAAAGGGAAGATGTCAAGTCAGTGATGGCGAGGAGCTCACAGCCCCAGGCCTCCTGGTGCCTAAGGACTGAGAATGTTGATTCCTGAGACTCCACCCTGTTACCTCATCGCCTGCCAGTCAGAGAGCCCTGTACAAGCTGATCACACGCCCTGCAACCCCAGTCCTCACCTGACTTTTTAAAACGCTCCTGCTGGTCCAACGGCTAAGACTCCACGCTCCTGTTCCAGGGGGCCCAGATTTGATTCCTGCTGGGGAACTAGATCCCACATTCCACAACTAGGACCTGGCATAGCCAAATAAATAAACAAAAATTTAAATTTTTTTTTTTTTGCTGAAACCCTGGGGGAGCTTGGGGCTTTTTAGAACATGAGCCACACATCTCCTTGCCTGGCCCCGCAATAATCCTAAATGTTGATAGAGCCACGGTAGAAAACAGTATGGAGATTCCTTAAAAAACTAAAGATAGAACTAGCATGTGACCCAGTAATCCCACTACTGAGCATATACCCTGAGAAAACTGTAATTCAAAAAAAAAAGAAAAACACAAGTACCCTCAAGTTTACTGGAGCACTGTTTACAATAATGAGGACGTAGAAGCAACCGAGATGCCCATCGACCGACGAACAGATAAAAAAGATGTGGTGCATATACACAGTAGAGCGCATGCTGAGTTGCTTCAGTCATGTCCGACTCTGCGACCCCATGGACTGTAACCGCCAGGCTCCTCTGTCCATGGGATAGACAGGGTTGCCGTGAGTGGGTTGAGTGGGTTGCCGTGCCCTCCTCCAGGGGACCTTCCCCATCCAGGGATCGAATCGAGTCGCTCATGTCTCCTGCACTGACAGGCAGGTTCTTTACCTCCAGCACCACCTGAGAAGCCCACAGTGAATTATTACTGAGCCAGAAAAAGGAGCAAAACTGAGTCTGTTGCAGTGCTGTGGGTGAACATACAGCTTGTCATGCAGAGTGAAGTAAGTCAGAAAGAAAAATACAAATATCGCCTTTTAATGCTTATATACAGAATCCAGAAAAATGGTGCTGATGAACCTACTTACAGGGCAGGAACAGAGACCAGATGCAGAGAGCAGACTTGGGAGGGAGAGCTAGGGCAGAGCTGTCTTTTTAAAAAGTCATTTACTGATTTCAGTTTTTTGTGTTTTTTTTGTCTATAGCTCTCGGCATGTATGATCTTAGTTCCCTGACCAGGGATCTAACCTGCTCCCCCTGCAGTGGAAACACAGAGGCTTAACCACTGGACCGCCAGGGAAGTCTCCCAGAGCTGTCTTTATAAGGCTGTGTCAGGCCCGTCTCCCCATGTGCTAAAACCAGAAGCAGAAGCCTGTTTGCAAACACCAACATATTATCAGTAAGGCAGTGTTCATCACACGTCCTTACCATCAGCGATAAAAGAAGTGTTCACATATTGAGATACAGGAAAGTCATTCTGGCTGGTACCTGATTTAACCTGAATTTGGCGCTAACTAAAGTAGCCTGTTTATGGCCTCTCAAACACACATTGCACATCTGCTTTAATTGTTCAAGAAAAGGGCACATTGGCCAGAAGTGAAGAAGGTCCGTGTTAAAAATAATGCCTCCCGTCCCGGGACTCCAGTACTGGTCCTCCTTTGATGTGAAGACTCCCTCCCGAGGTGCAAGGGCAGGCTGATCTTCTGTGTACGTGCTGATCTGTGCGTGTGTGTTTCCTAGAAATAAACCCCTGACTGGCTTAATGTTCTTTGTTCTGACAAGATATAAAACTACTGGAAACCCTGCTTCTCTGGAGCAGCTTCTGAGTCACCCGAGAAGTGGGCTTCCGAGCCAGTCTTCAGTTTGGCTCAAATAAAGCCCTTTTCCATTCGTATTGTAGACCGTTTACTGATTATGTCAGTCGACACCCGCCAGCCTGTGGCTGACAGCAGCACTCTGCCCTCACCTCGGCCTGCCTGATTGCTCTCCAAGCTCCCTCCGGAGTCCCTCCAGCACTGGAGACAGGCTGTTCAGAGAGCAAGCAGAACACGTTCCCTTTGAATCCTGTCTGTCAGCTGCACGAAAGCGGTCAGGGACTTCCTTCCCTGGAGGTCCGGTGATTAGGACTCCATGCTTCCAAGGGAAGGGGCTCAGGTTTGATCCCTGATCGGCGAACTAGGATCTCACATGCTGTGTGGCAGGGCCAAAAGAAGAGAAACAGACAAAACAAGTGAAGTGAGCAAAAAGAAAGAAAAGTACGCCCGTAACACCGACCCACCAGCACAACACCTAAGACCTTCTTCTCATGGATTAACAGGGTTCACCGTTCGGCTGAGGAAGGGAGTCTCAGGAAGGCTGGAGCTGAAGTTAACCAGTGTGGGGAGGGTAGATCACACTCAGATGCCGCCCTGCCTCCGCTGGGTGTCTGGGTCTCACTCACCTCCCCAGGAGGTGTCATGCTCCCCATCCCCTCCAAAAAAAAACAAACCAGGTATGTTTAAGTCCTAGCTGTCAGCACCTCCGAAGTTAGGAGCCCAGTGTGAGAAGCCTGGTCAGGCGCTGAGCGTGTCTTAATTTCCACAGAAGCAAAACTGCACATCCTACCACTGTACTGATCATGGGGACATCAGATGCATTCCTCTGGCCTTTTAAGGCAGACAGTGTGATCTCTGCTTTTCTCTAGAGTATTTATCGGTGATCTAAGCTGACATAAAATGCTGCATCCTTATTATTCATCTTTCCTAGTTGCTCCTCACTTCTCCTAGATGGAGGGTGATAAAACTTCAAGGCTCAGATTTTTACTTAGTGACTCATGTGGCCTATAGAATAAGCAAATGATTTTCCTCCACAAACTTGGACTGCATCGTTTTTTCTCTACCTATTAAGTTGGTTGACTATGCCAAGCATTGTTTTAAATTTAATAGTACCATATTCACTAAGCATGATAAATGCAGCCTGGCTTCTCTTTCTCTTTTCTTTAACTTGCCCCTGAGTCAGCTACAAGAAATGACTCTGGCCCATAAAATCGTTATGCTCACAAAGCAAACAGAAGGTCTAATCCTCTCTTCAAGATTCTTCACTAGGTCTCCCTGTTTCCTGGATTGGACTCAAATTCCTGGATCTCATGTTCAAGGCCACCTGCCAGTTTGCCAACATCTGCTTCAGGCTATTTCTTCAAGACAGAATGTAAGTGTGAATGTCAGACATCGACTCTTAACAAGGCCTGCAGATGTAACTTCTGCCAAGAAGAAAAGATTTCGCGGAAACAATGGTGACTCAAGACTCTAGAAAGGTGTATGTTCCTCTCATTGTCAAGATAAAATTTCATAATTGACTCCTGAGTTAATTTCTCACTTACCTCCAGCAGAAGTTCTACTTGAATGACGTCTGAAGGATCAGACATAAATACAGAATTGTCTGGTAAGGATAGTTAGGTCGGGGCCAATTTGCAGAACTACTTACAGAAATGCTCATCATCCAAAATTACTCACCTTGAGGACATTTCATCCTAGAGACAGTCCAGGGTACTCCAGGTAAACATGGAGCAACTGAAAAAGCGAACATCCCAGGATGAAATGTGACCTGGAGTGTTGGGTATAGCACACGATACAGCACAAGCTGAAATTTCTCCTACTCAAAGTTGACGTGTGTGTGTGTGTGTGTGTGCGCGCGCGCCCTCAGGCATGTCCAGCTCTTTGCAGAACCAGGCTCCTCTGTCCATGGAATTTCCCAGGCAAGAATACTGGAGCAGGTTGCCCTCTCCCCCTCCAGGGGATCTTTTCAACCCAGGGATTGAACACAAGACTCTTGAGTTTCTTGCATAGACAGGCAGATTCTTTACCACTAGCGCCACCTGGGAAGCCCAAAGCTAACCTAAATATTTTCCAATTGTTTAGTCCCTTAATATACTAGAGCTGTACCGCCCTGCATGTCAGACCATGTGTGCCTATCTAAATTTAAGTTCATTCAAATGCAGAATTCAGTCCCTCTGTGGCACTGGCCACGTGCCATGGACTCCATAGACACGGAGGGCTCATGGCTACTGGAGTAAAAGCACAGATAGAGAACATTTCCATCACAGAAAGGTCAAGTGGACAACACTGTTGAAGCCTCCATTCCCAGGTATATTGCAAATGATTGCCATCCTCCAGCCACTTTGGCATAAAGATCCTTCTGAGCTGAAGCCAATTAGGAAATAGCAGACGTCGGAGAAGCTCTCTGCCCTTCACCTGGCAGCTACGGTGAGGGGCTGGCCCTCTGTCCCACCCGGAAGGGAAGGACAAGCTGTATCTCCGGAGATAGTGACAGAGCCAGGGTGTGTCTGATAGACTAAACTTCACCGAGGAGCCCATGGCCCCAGAAGTGTCCCCAGGTACCACTTTTCCACAGTGCTCCACCCCTGAAAGCCCAAAGCCTGTTTCCTTTGTCTCGTCATGTGTACACAGCTTATCACCTTTTGTTAAAATGTCATATATACACCCCCTTTGCCGTCCCGCTCCTAATCATACTGCTTCTTTGGGTCTTTTTTTTTCTCTTTCATGGGAGAAAAATTAAAATATTAACAACAAGTAGAATTTGTCTTTCCTCCTGTTAATCTGTCTTTTTTCACTTTAATTCTCAGCCTCATACCCTAACGGGCAGAGGAAAGTCTTTCTTGCCTCCATTACACAATTTACCAAGAATAACTGAGAAACACAGCCTAATTTAGCAGAGAGGCTGAAACTTCGAGTTTGATGGAGCTTGTGTGTCTTAGGTACAGAGGATATGTCCAATCAGGTGACACCACCCTTCCAGGGGGTTTCTGTAATTTTATTCTGGATAAGAACTTCAACTGAAAAAAAGATGTAGGGGAGGTATTTTAATCTTATTCGGCACTTGCTCCATTTAAATTCTAGATTATTCACAAAACCCAACCACATTTCTGATCCTCTCACAGGACTTTAAAACAATAAGTCACAAACTAAATCAAAGATAAAATATAAGCAGAATGTATTACTAGATTAAGCATGTATGTTTCAAGAGCTGACAGAAACATTAGAGGCTATCTAATCTAATTTCAATTTTTGGTGATGAAAACTCTATGACTCAGAAAGTTTAGACACCTCTCCCAAATTCTCCAAGCCACTGTGCAGGAATTAGATATCTTATATCCAGACTCAACGCACTTTGTGTTTTTTCTTTATGTTGTGATTATAGAAGAGGAATCATATTTTTATTTTATATATATATTATATAATTAAATAAAATTATATATAAAACTTTATATTTATTATTATATTTTTGTCAGAAACGTGAGCCTTCTCAAGTCTTTGAGATTAGAGCTATTGAGAAAAGCCTGTCACTTCATTTACTGGTGGCTGATACATAAGTGTGCAAATGTGCACACACACAACTAGATGTTTTATTTCCTCTCAGCCTAACTTCCTGATTAGGGATGAATAAGGTGAATTCCATGATCTCAGATTCAGCTCAGTGTGACTATTTGGTAAATGCAGGGAGAAAGGATGGAGAAATATGCTCCTGGATTTTATGTAGGAGAAAGTGAGACATACACAGCGTCCTCTGCAAATGTGACAAACCTGAGCAGGCTTTCATCATTGGAGTTCTTAATAATGATTCTGTTACCTGATCTCATCAAACTGATCAATGAGAAGAGATTGCAGTGAAATTACAGAAGTTCATCCTCACCCTCCAACTGATGCAGCAATAGCTGAAGTAGATCAGTCATAGCTAAGCCGATCAATAACAGAATCTAAGTTTTCACTGATTACTTTATTCGTGTTTTTAAGAAAGCTGCTGAGGCACTTCCCTGGTGGCCCAGTGGCTAAGACTCCATGCTCCCAGCATAGGGGGCTGGGATTTCACCCCTGGTCAGGGAACTAGACCCCACATGCACCAACTAAGATCAATTCAGTTCAGTCGCTCAGTCGTGTCCAACTCTTTGTGACCCCATGGACTGCAGCACTCCAGGCTTCTCTGTCCATCACCAACTCCTGGAGCTTGCTCAAACTCATGTCCATCCAGTCCACGATGCCATCCAACCATCTCATCCTCTGTCGTCCCCTTCTCTTCCCGCCTTCAATCTTTCCCAGCATCAGGGTATTTTCAAATGAGTCAGCTCTTCGTATCAGGTGGCCAAAATATTGAGAGTTTCAGCTTTAGCATCAGTCCTTCCAATGAATATTCAGGACTGATTTCCTTTAGGATGGACTGGTTGGATATCCTTGCAGTCCAAAGGACTCTCAAGAGTCTTCTCCAACACCACAGTTCAGAAGCATCAATTCTTTGGCACTCAGCTTTCTTTAGGGTCCAACTCTCACATCCACACATGACTGCGAGGAAAACCACAGCTTTGACTAGACGGACCTTTATTGGCTAAGATCTGGCGCCGCCAAATAAATAAAATAAATACTTTTTTAAAAACAAAAACAAAAAACAGTCCCCAGGGACCGGCAGAGGCCAGCCCGCGGGTGGACCGGGCCGGGATCAGGAACCCCGGGGAGTCGGGAGCCCTGCGGTGGCGCGCAGCCCAAAAGTCCGCAGAGGGCTGGACGCCTGCGGCCGCGCGGGGGCGACTGGGAGCCCGGAAGTCCGCCGTGGGCTGCGGTCCCCGAGGCGGCGCGGGGACTGCCGGGAGCCCGGAAGTCCGCGGATGGCGCTGGGTCCCGGCTGCAGGGCAGTCCGGGGCTGCCGGCCAGGTAAGCGCGCTCCCGGCCTTCCGGGGCATGGCCGTCCCGGCAGGGGCCGCGGTCGCCAGCGCCGCCGTGGTGGCGGTGCTCTCGGCCGCGCTGGCGCTCTACGGGCCGCCGCTGGATGCAGGTACTCGGCCGTGGGTCCGGGCGGGGGGCGCCGCCGTGGGGGCCCCTGGGCGTGTGGACGGGGGCCGCCGAGTGACCCCGAGGGCCCGGCCTCGGCTGCTGAAGAGGAGGGCGGAGGAGCAGGGTGAAGCGGCCGAGCGCGTCCTCGGTGTTCGGAGTGTCTGTTCCTCATGAGCCTGAGGAGAGGGTCTTCAGGGCGTCTGTTGGCCTGTCGCCTCCCTTGTCACGACGGCGTGGGGAGCCTGCTGCCCTCCGCCGTGGCAGAGGCGGGCTCTGAGCCAGGCTCACCCCTAAAGGGGCCGGACCGGGGAGACGCACGCTGGCCGCGCCCCTCGTCAGCGGGCGCCCCGGGGCAGAGCCGTGGGGGGCTGTGCGCCCCCGTCGCCTCAGCTGCGCTCCCTCAGGCACGCCAGCCCAGCCCCCCCCTCCCCCGCCACGATCTTTTTGTTGTTGTGGGTCTCTGTCTGTCTAAAATCCATACGCGCTGCCATGGTCTACCCAGATTTCTCTTTGAGTCGTCTTGAGGTTTCATCATTAGGCCGACCTGCCGACCTCTTTACCAGAAAAAGAAACAGAAGTTCAGGTCACTGACTTCCCCTCACGGCCTTAGGGCATCTCCAGGTTAATTTGAAGATTGCTGTCAGGGTTCCACATTAGCCACAGTTCACATGGAATTGCTGAGATTGCACAGTTGTGAGTGGCAAGTAATTCTAGAAAACAGCCCAGAGTAAAGAAATCTATTTAACTCTCCTTAGCCACATACATTCGTTGAACACAAACAAAAACCAGACAGGTTTGACCTGTTCCTCCAGATTCAGAATTGTGTGAAGACAAATTGCTTAATGAGGTAAATTTCAAGTTGCCTCTCCTCAAGGCCTTTTTATCCTTAGGTTTGTGGTGTGTATGTTTCAGTATTTCTGTGGGAAAGTCCAAATGGTGTATATTAGAGAGCTAGCTGAAACTTGCTTTTCTCTGGAGTGTAGGGAAATTTTATTGATCTTCCTTTGGCTCTTTCAGGAACACAAATTCATCTCAGCTGAATGTTACGGATAAGCAATGTGGGTTGTGCTTTGCATTCATACAGTTGCAGTTAACTAAAACTACTGTACTTCTCAACAGTGATATGCTTTTTTTTTTTTTTTTTTACCCATCACAGATTGCTTTCAGAAGGCACATGAGAAGGATTTGACTTGTCTTTTGGTTGGTGGTGTGATTGATTTTTTTAAAAAATTAAAATTTCTTTTCTTCCTGAAAATGACAGCATTTTGGTGAAACGGTGTGTTCTGCCCAGGCTTATCCATTCATAACCATGGCATCTTTGCAGTTCTGTCTCTGAGTCTCAGTTTCCTTGTCTGTAAAAGAAGGATAAGCTAGCTTCTGGTGAAGAGTGAACCACGATGCCTTTACTTCATCAGACATTTACTGAGTGGCTTATTTTGTGCCAGACTCTGCCCAGGGTGGAGTCCAGCCCTTAAGTCACAGGTGGGAACCCTGCCTACAGCGCTCTGCAGAGGTAGAGTGGTAGTCTTAGGGGTGTTTTGTGTGTAGCTAGGTGCTTAGATTAAAGTAATGGTGACTGATAAACGCAGAACATTGTAAGGACCCCAGAGTAATCCTCGAGTGACTATTAGGTTTGGGTCCATCTTTAGAAAGCACCTGTGTTTACTGTTCTGGGGTGTTTGGGGGGGGGCGGCCATTCTCTGGTGGGCTCTCATTGACCAGTCATGTTGAAACAGGTGCCTGGAGAGCACCTTGACCGCACAGACGGCCGTCAGTGGTCCGCAGGGCCGCCCTTAAATTCTCCTGTAACAGCTCAGGTTCCTGTCCTGCAGCTGGCTGCGGCGCCCACGCGGGCGTATCTCACCGCCACTGTGCACGGTGGGAAGGCAGCGCGTGGCTGGGAATCCGGGGCGCAGACAGGACTGGGGTGGGGAGGAGCGAGAGCTGGGTGTTGGCCCAGCACGTCGGCGGTGGGTCAGGTTGGGCTGGAATCGAGGGTCAGTGGCTAGGCTGACGGCTGAGCAAGCCTTCTTGTGCCTTTTCATGGCCACAGGTTTACAGTGGTTCTATTTGGAGTTTTAATCCTGTGTTGACTTGAAAGAAAGTGGGAAGGTGTTTGATTGGATGGTAATTAATATTCTTTTTACATCTTGGGTCTAAGCATCTGATGTATCAACTAAGGAGGCATTTATATCTACTCACTAAAGAATATTACTTGAATAATTTTGTTGAATGAAAAGTAAAACAGTACGAGCAATATTAAGATAAAGCTGTTTTACCACATGGAGCTGAGTCAGCTTCTGGTCTTCACTTGAACTCATGACCCACGTGTAGTTTTTCTCCACTGCTGAGATAATGGGAAGATAAAAACATTGGATGCCTTTTTTGTGAAAGTATTGTTCGTATCAGCAAAGATCCTGTAATTCTAAAGAAAATGCGTGCTTTATTATCTGTTCATACATTGGGCTCTACAGAACATAGAATTTCTCTCACAGTTGAGATGTTTTAAACAACATGGCAAAACATACAGCACAGGAAGTTTTTCAAGAAAGACTGATTAAAATTAGCTGTTTATAGACAGTTCAGGGATCAGACTATTTTAAAATGCCACTTTGTGGACTTACCTGGCTGTCCCGTGGTTAAGATTCCATGCTTCCACTGTGGGGGGGCCCAGGTTCGATCTCGGGTCAGGGAACTAAGATCCTGTGTGCTTTATGGCATGGCTAGAGAAGTGAAAAACCACTTTGAGCCCAGTGTAAGATGTGTTCTTCATTTAGAATGCCATTTCCAGGTTGATTAGAGACTTGATTAGTAACTAACTGAGCATGGGAGCCAAGACTAGAAAACTAAACTGGGAAGGACACGAACCTGTCTGGCTTGAATAGACAGTGGAAAGTAACAAAGAGGGAGACGAGACCTAATAAGCTTGCAGGATTGTGTAGCTCAGTAAATAATAGTGGAGTTAGGAAAGCTTTCTGAAGGGTTAAGTAGACTTCGAAGACTTCTGATACATTTCAAAGTAAATCTGGTACTTAACCATATGTGTTAAGTGTTGTGTTGTTATTTCTAAACCTCATTTTCTTATGGAAATGAAATAAACCACTGAATAAAAGTCTGCAGCATTCATGTTAAGTCAGCTTTGGGAAGTATTTTGATTAGTGTCTCTGTTTCTTATATAGATTGATAGCTGTTTACCTTTCTGAACATTTTCCTGTTTTTCAGTGTTAAAAAGAGCATTTTCGCTGCATAAAGCACACTCAGTAAAGGACATGGAAAATACTTTACAGCTGGTGAGAAACGTGGTACCTCCTCTAACCACCAAGAAGCACAAAGGGCAGGATGGAAGGATCGGTGTGGTGGGAGGCTGCCGGGAGTAAGTGATGCATCGTCCACCCGTCCATCTGTCTGTCGATCAGGAACCATTTCCAAGTTTCGGCTGATACTATGACAGTATTTTTCCCTGAGGAACATTTGAGTGAACAGCAGAAAAAGCAGGGGGCCCTGACTGGGTGAGGTGACCGTGGCCTCCGCTCGCCGTGCTCTCAGGGCTGGGTCCTGCCCCTGGGGCACCGGCTAGTCCAGGCGCTCTGGCCTTGAGCACGCTCCCTCTCTGCAGAAGCCTTTGGCGAACTCTCCCTGGCTTCTCAGACCTCCGGAGTTTTTGTTTTTTGGTTTTCCCCCAACACGCATCCCCACCCGTCCTCCTTGCCAACAGAACCCCAGTCCTGTTCAGTTGGTGTTGCATTTTCTCTTACTTGTACCTGTGGGCATTTCCGGTAAATCCAGTGCTTTCTGTGTCTGTGTTAGTCTAGAGAGAAGTGTCAGCTCTATAATATTAAATCGTCTCATCACGTGTATATCTCTGCTATACTTTAATAGGTTTAAACTTTTTCCCTGTAGAGTTACCATGTGTTTTTATAAGGTTAACTCCTAGAAAGTTTATGATTTTTGCCGATATTGTAGATGCTATTATATTTTGCAATTAATTATTCCTAGAATTGAAAGAAGTTTTTTTCAGTTGATGGAAATCTTGCTGAACTAGTATGTACTAGGAGATAATTTTTCTATTGAGGTCTGGATAATGCTTGCCTCATTCTGACTTTTGACTGTAAATATTTCCTTAGGTACACTGGAGCCCCCTATTTTGCAGCAATCTCAGCTCTCAAAGTGGTATGTTTGCTTATAGCTTCTTTGTTAGGATTTTTTTAGTGAAAGTGTCGGATCATTTAAATATGACTGCAGCAGATGTTTTCTGATAGAAATCTTGGTAATGTTTCAGGTAACCTTGGGTGAGAGACACCTTTTAATCTACCCTGACCTTTTGTGTAGCCACAGGGTAACTCAGATGGGGACTCATTTTTCTCTTAAAGTTTTATTAGAAGTGCCCCTTGCCACAGTGATCCCGGGCTGCCTTTTCAGGCCTCGCACAAGCAGTGGACACCTTTTCACCGTGGCCACTGCCTGGGCATTTTGATCTCGCGCAACCCGAGGGCCTGGTGGCCCGGGGATCTTAAGGTGGACCCTGCAGCCCACAGACCTCATGGTGACGCTGTCTGGCTGGTGGTGACCTGCCCCTTGTTCAGCCGCTCAGTCGCGTCCAGCTTTTTATGACTCCCTGGACTGCAGCACACCAGGCTCCTCTTGGGTGGCAGCAGTGTCCGCCTTTCATTCCAGGCCTTTCCCAGGCTCTGCCGCTGGCCAGGGCCTTCTCAGCCGCCTCCTGGCGGGGTCGAACTGCGGTGGTGGGCACTCCTGTGGACCATGCTGGGGTTGGGGCGGTTGTAGCCGGGCCATGCGCTCTGGGCCTCTGTCAGGCGAGTCCCGCCTGAGCCGCCTGCTGGGCCCCTCCCCAGGGCGCGGACCTGTCCCACGTGTTCTGCACCCAGGAAGCCGCGCCCGTGATCAAGTCCTACAGCCCGGAGCTGATCGTGCACCCCGTCCTGTGAGTGGGGCGGGGCCACGGGCGTCCCCAGACAGGGGGCGCGGGTGCGCGTCAGGCAGGTGCAGTTGTTCATGGGCTGGTGGTGGGCAGTGGCATAGGCGTGGTGTCCGGTGAGGCCCGCGGACACGGGGTGGGTGGGGAAAGGGTGTAGGAGCTCACGCTGGAGGCACTCCGCGTGGGTGCTCAGGCCAGGCCAGGCGACCACAGAGGCTCCAGGCCACGCGGTGCAGGTCGTGAGCGTCATCGTGAGGGCTTTGGCTTTGACTTACATGAGACAGGGGAGCCCACAGTTTCTTCAAGTGCCCGCCTAGCTTTGTGAACTTCACAGAGGTTCTGTGGAGCCTCAGGCTTTTAAAGGCTCGTTGGGCCACTGTGTTGAGAATAAGCCCTTGGGGCCCAGGAGTGGCAGGGGTCCCACCGGGAGGCTCTTGTTGGGTCCTGGGGGCGCCCTGTGGAGGAGAAGGGCTGGGTGGATGGTGTTTAAAGCGGGAGGCAGGGGTGTGTGTGGGTGGGAGGGCCTGGTGTGCAGGCAGCAGGGAGCAGACAGGGATGGGGGGCGTGGAGGAGGCCAGGAGGGCATCCTGGGACAGGAAAAGCACCCTGGGGGACAGCTGCCAGACGTCTGTAGTGTCATCAATAAAGGAAACAAAGACGTGAAAATAAGCCGTTGGTGTGTCTCCTCCTTGTTCAGAGACAGCCCTGATGCTGTCCGCGATGTGGAGCAGTGGCTGCCCCGACTGCACGCCCTGGTGGTGGGGCCTGGCCTCGGCAGAGACGACGCTCTTCTGGAGAATGTCAAGGTAGCCTTGGGCTCTCCCAGGAGACCGCTCTGATCTTGGGAAGTCTGAAGCGCATTGTGTTTCCTGTGCCGCTCGTGGTGGAGGAGTTGGGGTTAGGGGACAGAGGATGAAGGGGAATGAGGAGAGACACATGTAGAACAAGACCGCGCTGGGTGGGTCCCCTCTGGGGCACGGGCCCTCCTGCTGTGGCCTGGGCGGTACTGCGGGTCCCGCCGCGATGCGGGTCCCAGCCTGGGCCGAACGGCATTCACGGTGGCCCGGCTCGGGTCAGGCTCGTGGTGCCCCGTCGCCGGCAGCCTGCTCGGCTTGTGGTCTGGCGCTCCCATGAGGGCGGTGTGCCCCCAGTCACAGAGAGCCATGTCTGCGGAGCGCCCTGCAGGGGCCCGGTAGGCACGGGACTCGGAACAGCTGGTACCGGGGGCATCCCTGTCGCTGTGACCCAGGGGATGTGATGATTGCAAAATGTTGCAGTCGTGATGGCTGCAGACTGGACGCTTTAAATGAATGAATTGAATGGCATGTAAAAATCTCAGTAAAATTCAAAAAAAGCAATTTCCTTGCTACATGACCACCTCAGGGATGTAATTTAGTTTCTCTGGGATTCAGTTTCCTGCTTTTCTTTTCAGCAATTTTAGCAAAATTTTTACATGGCATACAATTCATTCATTTAAAGTGCACGGCTGCATGGCTTCTAGAGTATTCGCAGAGTTTGCAGCCACTGCCACAGTCAGTTTTAGGACAGTTGCATGAGGCCAGAGAGAGCCTCATTCACTGTTAATGGTTATCGTCACTCCTTTAAAAACACGAAATGTGACTTAACGAGAGTGCATAAAAACAGAAGAGCCGGGCGCTTCTTGAGACGTCGCTTTCTGACCCTGAACCCCAAGGGTCCATAACTGTTAGGATTTGGAGACGCCAGCTTGGGGTTGGCCTCCATGGGCCGGCGTGGGACCCAGCAGCGGTGGTCATCCCGTGGCTTGTGTGCTCAGGGTCCCATGCCGGCCCTGCAGAGGGGCTTTTCTGATTGTGTTTTGCACTTGCTTTATGATTTCCCGTGTGTGTGTTGACGGCCTGGTGTGGAATCCGTCAGAACTGCTGTTTCTTTCAGCTTTCCTCAGGCGACGGGCTCAGTGCTCAGCTGCCTTCCTTTCTTGCAGGGCATTCTAGAAGCGTCCAAGGCCAGGGGCGTCCCCGTGGTCATCGACGCAGTGAGTGTGGCCCCTGCCCCTCTTCACCGCGCCCCTGTGGCCGCCCCCAAGTGACCTGAGTCCTCATCTGCAGGACGGGCTCTGGCTCCTCGCCCAGCAGCCGGCGCTCATCCAGGGCTACCGGAAGGCGGTCCTCACCCCCAACCACGTGGAGTTTGGCAGACTGTCCGAGGCTGTGGTGAGTCAGCCAGCCACCCAGGTGGGCGACTGCATGCACTCCAGGGCATCCTCTGGTCAGCGTCCTTGATGGGGTGAAAGCTGGGTGGTGGACTCTGGGGTCAGCCCGGCCTCCAGGCAATCACTTCATCCCTGCCCTGCGTCCCCTCCTCTAACAGGTGGGGTGGGATGGGGTCCACGTCACAGGGTTTGTGAGAACGAGATCAAACCACACGGCTGACCCCACAGCACGGGGTTAGGTGCTGCTGCCTGCACGCTGCTGAGAACCTGAGGGTCGGTCAGCACGGTTCCTCCATGTGTGCGGCTCCGCCTCCGTGGATTTAGCCAGCCTGATTGTAAGACAGCCCACGTGTAAGGACTGCGCCATTCACACTGAAATTGTTGACGGGTCAGCCGCGTCTGTCCATCGAGTGTCCTTACGTGTTCGTGCCCACGCATGTCGCTCTTCATCCTTCTGTGCTGTGTCACTCGGGCAAACCTGTAGACTCCCTGCCATGGGCCGGGGGCCTGACTCTGCTGGGACAGGTCGGGGCGGGCGCCCTGCGGTGTTTCTGCCCTGAGCGCCGTGTTGGTGTCTGCCTGGAGTGCGGGTGGCCTGGGCCTCAGGGCCGAGCTCGGTCAGCAGGTGCCAGGCAGGCCCCCAGACGAGTCGGGACCTGGGCAGACGGGCTCTTTGTGTCCAATGAGGATGTGTCTGTCGTCTAGCTGGGGGCGCCCCTGGATGGCGGAGACCGTCATGGAGCTGTGCTGAGACTCAGCCAGGCCCTGGGCAACGTCACCGTGGTGCAAAAGGGGGAGCAGGACGTGATCTCTGATGGCGAGCAGGGTGAGTGGCTGCAGGCCTCACACCGCGTGTCGGCCGGCTGGTACGGCCACGCTGGGCACCAGCCCCAGGAGGTCCGCTTGTCCACGACCTCAGGAAGCCTGTCTGTCCTGTTTCTGAGTGTTCTGCGCGGGGAGGTGGCCGCAGTGGGGCGTGCTGGCCCGGGCTGACCGCGGCGTGGCAGCTGACGCTCCGTCCCTGCTGTGTGCGATGGCCCAGGGAGGGCCGCCCCCTCACTGCAGACAGACGCAGGTGCCGAGTGTCTCCCGGCTGCTCGTTCAGTCTTACCCCCAGCAGCGCCCGGAAAGTAGGGACACCATGGAGCGGCCGGGGGTGCGGGAGCCCCCAGGCACCAAGCGCAGCCTTGGGGGCCACCTGCCCGTGTCCTCCCCCGGGGCTCCGGGTGTGAGGCTTCTGCTCCCTGCAGAGTCCTCCCGCCGTCCCAGTCCCCCAGTGGCATCGCACTCACACGCACTCACACATGCACGTGCACACCCACGCACTCACACACCACACACACGCACTCACTCCATACACATGTACTCACCACACACATGCACACATATGCACTCACCACACACATACACGTGCACACACTCACATGCACTCACACACACTCCATACGCATGCACTCACCACTCATGCACGTGCACACACACACGCACTCACCGCACACTCACACGCACTCACACACTCCATACACATGCATGCACCACACACCACACACATGCACGTGCACACACGCTGCACAGGACACGCAGTGAGCATTCTCCGAGGGACCCTGAGTTCTTCAGGCCATGGGTTCTTCAGATGCTAGAAGGTGCTCTGAACCCTGACACAGTCAGAGTCACGATGGCTTCAGACACTTTCAAAGAAGTGGAAACTTCTCACAGTGCAGACAAGTCCCAGCTGGGGTGCCACCAGCTCTGAGTCTCCAGGCGGACGAGGTGCTCTGGGGGTAGGCGAGCTTGTCCCCTCAGACCCCGGGTGCTGGTTGGGGGGCGGCCTCCTGCCATGCTGGCCTGGAGAGGCGGCCGTGTGGGGATGGCGGGGGGAAGGAGTGGAGGGTGCCCCCAACGTGTCCTCTTCTCCGCAGTGCTTGTGTGCAGCCAGGAGGGCAGTGGCCGCAGGTGCGGGGGTCAGGGGGACCTCCTGTCTGGCTCCCTGGGAGTCCTGGCACACTGGGCCCTCCGTGCGGGCCCTGAGAAGACTGGCGGGTAAGTCCATCTCATCCCTCCTGTTTGAGCAGCTCGTACGTATAGTAAGGAGCAGACTGGAATGTTCCCGGTGAAACACGGGTGTCACGGGGAGGGCTCCCAGGGCTGGCTAGGTTGATTCCTGATGCTGGTCTGGCTGCAGGAAGCGGCCCCATCCCCCTGGCTGGATGGCCTCCGGGGCACCGATGGTTCTCCCTGCTCCCATCCCTGCTGGAGGGGGAGACGCTGCCCGGGGCTCTGCGGTGCCTGCTCTCAGAACAGCTGTCATGGGGGGGGGACATGGAGGTCAGGGTAGCTCCTGTTGGCAGATGAGTCTCCACGAGGCGGCCGGGCTCTGAGCTGGGGCACCCCCACCCCTTGGGACCTAGACCTCTGCTCTCTGCACCCATCCTGGCCACAGTGACAGTGCCAGCCTGCAGGGTCACCGCACACCCGTGGGGTGTGTGCAGACAGCGTGCTGGCAGGTCCAGTGACATGGTGAGCAGGTGTCCCTGGGGGGTCTCAGTGACATAGTGAGCAGGTGTCCCGGGGGGTCTCAGTGACATGATGAGCAGGTATCCCGGGGGGTCTCAGTGACGTAGTGAGGTGTCCCTGACCTCAGCATCCTCCAGGTCCTAGAACACGGCTGGCCAGGTGCTGTATGTGGTCACCTGGGGCAATGGCCGTGTCAACCCTTCCCACACGCACAGCTGTTTCTGATGCTCGTCCGTCGGGATCGTCCACATCCCGGTTACTGGCTGTGTTCACTGTAGGGAGGCTGTCTCAGAGGCCCTTAGACTCGAGCTTGCCAGCGTGGGTCCCGGGGCGGCAGGCGGGACGCACGGGGTGCAGGGCCGCCCCTGAGACCTCTCCCCGCAGGCCCAGCCCGCTGCTTGTGGCCGCCTTCGGCGCCTGCGCCCTCACCCGGCAATGCAGCCAGCAGGCCTTCCAGAAGCACGGACGCGCCACCACCACCTCTGACATGGTCGCCGAGGTCGGGCCTGCGTTCCGCAGGCTCTTCGAGGCCTGAGCCGGAGCCGCTGGAGGGTGGGTGCCGTCCGGCCAGGTCCCCCGAGAGGTCTGCGCTCTGCAGGTTGACACAATGCCAGTTTGAAGCATAGCACTTTCTGCCGAAACTGATACGGAACGGTGTTGGTGAACTTTCCTCAGCCTCTCTGCAGCGTCAGAAAAGAACACAGAGAATAACGTGACGAGACGGTCTGACGGCACCTCAGCTGGACTGTGGGCTCTGCGCTCCGCTGCTGCCTGGAGCAGACCCTGCGTCTGAGCGTCATGTTCCTGCGAGAAGGGCCCTCATGACTGGGCCTCTCGGGGGTCCCGTCTCTTATTCCCAAGTGTGTGTGAATCATGTTTTCTAAGTTGAGGTCCCGCAGAGGCTGTGGTGTTCATTCTTTAGCTCATTTTTACATTTTAAACAGTAATTAGGTCAGACACATCTGGGCAGAAATATTCAGCATCAGTTGGTTAATTGACTGAAGTGTTCCGGAAAAGTCAGCTATCTGTCAGCACTGGAGATCCTGTAGGCCCCTGGGAAACCACCGAATGCAATGATGCACCCCAGCCCGTGTGTGCAGGGTGGCTCTGGGACACCTCACTTTCATGTGTCCGCGCAAAGGCATGCATGGTGACGGGCCCCCATGGGGAGGGGTGCCCAGGGCTCCCAGGTCAGGTCTCAGGTGGGGGTGGGGGGGTCGTGCTCTCAGGAATGTTCTGAACACGTCGTCTCTGTGCTGAGTTTTCTCACCGGCTTCGGTCAGCCTGTGTGGTCCGCGCTCAGTGGCCCGTCCTGTTTCTCCGGGGGGGTCAGTCACAGCATGTGCCCTTGAGTGCATCAGCCACACGCTTTCTGTGGGGCAGGCCTGACCTGTGTCCGTCTGTCCTCAGCGATCCCTGCTCTGTTGTTGCACAAAAGATCCCGCTTTCTTTGAACAGCTTGGACTTCAGATTTTTTTAAGGTTGTGGATCACTTACATCTAATCATAGAAGAGCCTCACTACTGTCACAGACCTTTCTTCCTTTGGGGAATTACACCTAAATCATGGTCGTTATTAAAAGGCAGACGTGGTTGATTTCACTGGAGAGTTATGTATTTTTTTTTCAAACAGCCAGAATTCACCTTCAGTTTGGTCCTCAGCGAGGATGTTCTTAGACACGAGGGGGATGGATACACAGATGCCCAACCAGCTGACGGTATGGCTCACGGGCGCCTGTCATATTGCTGAGGTGAAGTGATCAGCCTGGAATACAGCAGCTTCTCTCCATGGGAGACATAAGGCAGCGGTCACAGGAACCACTGCGTCTCTGAGTCCCTCTGCTTGACGGGGCAGCTGGGCGATGCTCCTGGCTCCTCTGCAGACCCGGGTGTTCACCAGCTCCAGGCAGGACGCACCCCCCAGGAGAGCAGCACCCAGAGCAGGCCAGGCTCGGCCGTCAGCCAGTCCCCCCCAGGACAGAGCGCCTGTCTCCATCAGGGGCCGGCCGCCTGCCCTCAGGGGGGGGGTTTCACTGCTCCTCAGGGTCCCTCCTCTGTAGAACGAGGGCCCCTGCCTGTCGGGGCAGCAAGGTCAGTGAAGAACTTAACGTGGCTGCCAGGCCGTCCTGCTGCCCAGGGCGGAGCCATGGACCGGTTCTTGACGGCCCAGGGGCCCGGCTGAGAGCTGAGCGGCAGGCGGTCCCCCCCCCCCCCCCCCCCCCCGTTCCCTGCCGGCGCCCTGCACAGCTAGGGCTCCCCGCCTACATGAGCAGGGTCCCTGCTCACCCTGCCGGCTCCCACCGCGCCACCCGGACACCCTCACACAGCCCTGCCCCGGGGCGTCTGCTCACAGTGGTACCCCAAGAACCCAGCGTTGAGGGAGCGCGGTGCATCGGAGCTGGACGCCTGCTGGGGTTTTCTCTGGGAAATGTTACTTTGTTACCAGACACAGCAGACGGAAACCCACAGGCCCAGGCCGACTCCGCCTGTCACGCAGGGTCCAGGTGACCCTGGGCAGGGGTCCCGCCCACCCCCGCACCCCCAAGGTTGTCTCCCAGGAGCCCGTGTGGGGCTTCCGTCCTGTCTCCTGGCTGAGAGCTCACCAAACTGCGCCTGTGCCGTCCGTGCTGAAAGGAAACCCTTTTCAACACCTACTCACACCAAGGGGTGGCGTGGGCTTGGTTTATTTTAAGGGAAAACAGCCACAACAGCACCTTTCACATGACGCTTTACTGTGACTTAAGGGCACAGAACCCTGTGAGACCACAGCCCCGTGTCCCCCGTCCTCAGCTCCTGGGTGTGGGGTCCTCTGTCCTCGGATCCAGCAGCTCCCACGTGGACGAGCCGCTCCTGTCCTAAGGAGGCAGGCGGCCCCAGGTGGGTGGAAGGGCAGGTGTCGGGGCTCGGGGGCAGGCCCTAGCCAGGGGCGGGTGTGCTCCCGGGAGAGACACCGGCTGAGCCCCGGCCCCACGGAGCGCTCACCTTGATGCTAATGCCGTGGACCGCCAGGTCTCTGCGCAGCTCGTCGCAGGCCTCCAGCAGGGGCCGCCGCTCCAGGAGCCGCTGCTGCCGCGCCTCCCCAGGAACCTCCCCAGAGGCCAGAGCGAACTGCCGGACCTTCAGCCGGAAGCGGACCAGCTCCTCCACCAGGCTGTGCAGGGCGGCCGGGCTGCCCGCCCCTGGAACACCCTGAGGAATGGGGGGGTGAGCGGGGCGAGTGGTGTGTGCGGAGGTGTGAGCCGGGTGTGCAGGCGTGAGCGGCTATGAACCAGCATCCGAGGGGCTGGAGCGCATCTTCTCCGCCCTTGCCCTATCCGGAGGTGCCAGCGTCAAGGTGTCACGACGCGAAGGCCCAGGAAGGCTCAGATGGGGGGACCAGAGGCCGGGGCTGGACGGCCCTCGGGACGGAGCTGGGCCTCTGCCATCCCGGGGACCTGGCGGGCGGAGCCGGCAGTGCTCCCCGCAGCTGCTGTGTCCACCGGGGGGGTCCCTACAGGTCACAAGGGGCCCGTAGCACGCCGAGGCCGCTGGTCTGCTCAAAGCCTCGTCACTGCAGCTAGCGCGTGCTAGCTCTCACTGTGCGCATGCGCCTTTCAAGGCCGGTGATACGTCTTAAACACGTAGCAAGTTTGGCCTTATAATTGCGCATTGAAATCAGCGTTTATGAAGGGAGGAAGGAGAAGTCCCGAAACTGAGGACTGAAAAGAGAAGGCAAGCATACCTGTCGCTCGGCCAGAGAAATGCCCACTGTCTCAAAGAACTGCTCCACGGAGGCCACGATGGCCCCCAGCACGGCGGGGCTCCGGGGGCCGCGGGGCTCCTGTGACAGCCGCCGGGGAGGGCGCTCAGAGGCCAGAGCGCAGCCCCCAGGGAGGCCGGGCGTGCGCTCCGCGCGCCGGTGCCGGCTGGTGGCCCCCCGGGTGCCGCGAGGCCACGAGTCTCTGCGCAGAGCCTGGCCCGGGGCGGGCGGGGGCTAGCTGGGGTCCCACCGCGATCCCCTCCCCCAGCTCACACCGCTGTGACCTGCTCAGACCCCATGAGCCCGCGAGGCGACGGCAGGCCCCGGGCTCCTGTCCACACAGGCCCCATGTGCCTGCCCGGGGAGGTGGCTGCTCGTGGGCAGCGCGTCCCGGGAGTTACCTCGGCGGCCGCCTTCAGCTGCCTGTTCCCGTGGTGGACGAGGTCCATGACGGCGTCCACCGCCCGCACCGTGTCGAAGTCGTCCGCCAAGGCCACCCGCACGGCCCGCTTTGTGCGGCCCAGCCTGGGGGAGGAGAGCGCGGGGCTGTCGTCTGCCCCATCCCCCCTTCCCCGCACTGTCAGGACCCCTGCGGGTCCCTCGCTCACACTTCCCACATGCCCACACGCCCGCACGCCCGGCCGTCACCGGCCCCTCAGGGCGCTGCCTCCTCCCTGCTGTCCGTCCCCCCAGACCCCCCGCTTCCCCGGCACAGGGCAGGCCTGGCAGACCCCTCAAGCGACCCTGAAGGGGAGACAGACCTCTGTGCGTGCTCCTGCACCTGGAGCTGTGTTAGTTACCCAGCGAAGCCGGGCCTCCGCAGACGGACACACAGACTCCCGGCTTGCCTGTGAGCAGGTAGCCGCTGCCCGCCCGCCCCCTCGCCGGGGGGGCCCGTGGCTGATGGCTCCCGGCCTCGCGGGCCCGGCGCTCGGCTCTGTGCTGCGCTCCGCCGCGGGGGCCAGCAGACCGCTCCCCCGTCTCCTCCTAACGTCCTTCCTGCCCAGCCTCAGAGGAGTCCGGGCTCGCCACTCTCCACGGTCCTCGGGGAGGCGACGCCAAGCCCCCAGACCCAGTGGCATCCGCCTCTGGTGGCCCGAGGGCCCCCTCCCCTCTCGCCCCCATCATCTCCCCAACTTCGCACCGTCCCTGACGTCACCCGCAACCCCCCCTCCCCGAGTCCTCTGCCTGAGGCCGGCCCGCTCCCCACCTGCCCCCACGCGCTCACTCCTCGGGGCCCTCCTGTGCACCCACCTCTCCCACAGCATGTCCTCCTGGACGGGGCCGCCGGCCAGCTGCCCCCTCATGTAGGCCCGCGCGTCCTCCGCGAAGGCGGCTGTGGCCCGCAGCAGGCGCCTGGCTTCCAGCAGGGCACCCTCGCTGTAGTCGACGGCTGCGGTGGGTTGGGGGGGGAGATGGGGGTTGGGTAGGGGGTCACAGGTCCAGCCTCACCCGCAGGGCCGCAAGGGGCCGCCCCCTCTGACCCTGGACACCGGGAGTCGGCTGGGGGCGGCCCCGCTGAGGCTGCTGGTCAGGCCCTGGGTCCGCTCAGCTCTGCCCGGCTCAGGACGCGGCAGGGGCGGCGGGAAGACCACCAGGCCGCGCAAGGTGTGGGGCTCAGGCCTGAGTGCAGACCCGTGGCTGCTGGCCGAGCACTGGGGCTACTTCCTGGGCGTCTGTCCTCAGGCTTCCCAGCCTCAGGGCGAGGGCAGCACGCCAGCGGGGGCCGTCTCCCCGGGTCTTAGGGTCCCCAGGAGCTCAGGGACTCAGGCCACGTGGCCGGCTCACCTGACCTGTA